TTTATTGGTACATTTAGGGATACAGTACAGTTACATTCATTGTTGGGATCATGTACCTTTACATGGCAAGTCTTGATTCTCATTTTTTTCCCCTTACCTCTGCCCTCCCTTCACCCCCTCCTCCCCTCCCCATCTACAAACACTTTATTTTCATCTTTTCATTCTCTCACATTTTTTTCTTTTCCCTTTTTGTTCTTCCCCTACGTATCACACCTTCCCTACACCTTTAGCTCCTTTCCTCCTCATTCTCCAAAATAGACCACATACTGGCTCACAAAACAGGTCTAAATAAATGCAAAAAAATTGAAGTCATCCCCTGTTTATTATCAGATCATAGTGCAATCAAACTAGACATCAATAGCACAAGAAACTATAGAAACTTCACAAGCTCATGTCTCTTTTTCTTCATCTGAGAAGTAGAAATAATGACTTTTGTCAAACCCTAATTTTAGAGTTACAAGGAAAAGAAAATGAAAGGTTGTATGTAAACACTTTGGACCTTGATAGTAATATTTCAGATTTCTTCTTTGATCAGACTCAAAAATTAAGTGTTGCTTGCTTTTCCTAAGTCTGTGAAGGGTAAAACAGAGGTGGAGAGATGTATACATAGTCATTGAATAAGTCTTTAATTATTTCTCCTGTTTGGTTTGTGTAAATCTTAATTTTATATTCTATATGTAAGATGTTTTAATATTTTTTCAGGTTAAAATGTCTTACTTCTTCAGTATTTCTTTATTTTAGGAAAAGCAAAGCATAGTCATCAAACCCAGATATATTAGTTCAACAGATCCTGCCAGAGTTGAAAATGAACCTCAATCAACAAGTCTTGAAATTTCCAGGAGTGTAGTGGAGGTAAGTATTTGGTAACACACTTCACATTTGCTCCCTTTACATACCATTACCAAGTAGCACTTGCAAGTTTCATCAGTAGTGGTAGGTATCTTGCTGTATAATTAGCTAGATGTACTTTTGGCAGTGTGAAAAGAACTGGAAGCTTTTGAGAAGTAGAATTTGTTTTTGGAACATTAGATTTCCAAATAATGTTTTTCTCCTCTTAAAAATAAGTGTATCTGTTAATATAAACAAACTTGATGGTCAGAAATAGAAAATCCCACAAAAGAAAATGAGGGTGATTATTTGCTGTCATAAGAGGTTTCCTTAGTAAACATTGTATTGAAACATATACAATTAGAGAGTTGTATCCATATAATAATTTTGTCATAGCTATTTTTTTTTCAGCTTTAAGTCATAGCTTTTAATAACTTACATTGAATTTCTTGAATGCGCATTGGGTCTAGGTTTCTATGAATGACTTTGAATAATATAAGAGTTCTTAGAACGCCATGTCACTTAAAAGTTTTTGGTTTCTTTGTGTTGTTTTGTTTTGTTTTTTTTGAGTCCTTTATAGTTCAGGCTGGCCCGTCACAAGCTCATGTCTCTTTTTCTTCATCTGAGAAGTAGAAATAATGACTTTTGTCAAACCCTAATTTTAGAGTTACAAGGAAAAGAAAATGAAAGGTTGTATGTAAACACTTTGGACCTTGATAGTAATATTTCAGATTTCTTCTTTGATCAGACTCAAAAATTAAGTGTTGCTTGCTTTTCCTAAGTCTGTGAAGGGTAAAACAGAGGTGGAGAGATGTATACATAGTCATTGAATAAGTCTTTAATTATTTCTCCTGTTTGGTTTGTGTAAATCTTAATTTTATATTCTATATGTAAGATGTTTTAATATTTTTTCAGGTTAAAATGTCTTACTTCTTCAGTATTTCTTTATTTTAGGAAAAGCAAAGCATAGTCATCAAACCCAGATATATTAGTTCAACAGATCCTGCCAGAGTTGAAAATGAACCTCAATCAACAAGTCTTGAAATTTCCAGGAGTGTAGTGGAGGTAAGTATTTGGTAACACACTTCACATTTGCTCCCTTTACATACCATTACCAAGTAGCACTTGCAAGTTTCATCAGTAGTGGTAGGTATCTTGCTGTATAATTAGCTAGATGTACTTTTGGCAGTGTGAAAAGAACTGGAAGCTTTTGAGAAGTAGAATTTGTTTTTGGAACATTAGATTTCCAAATAATGTTTTTCTCCTCTTAAAAATAAGTGTATCTGTTAATATAAACAAACTTGATGGTCAGAAATAGAAAATCCCACAAAAGAAAATGAGGGTGATTATTTGCTGTCATAAGAGGTTTCCTTAGTAAACATTGTATTGAAACATATACAATTAGAGAGTTGTATCCATATAATAATTTTGTCATAGCTATTTTTTTTTCAGCTTTAAGTCATAGCTTTTAATAACTTACATTGAATTTCTTGAATGCGCATTGGGTCTAGGTTTCTATGAATGACTTTGAATAATATAAGAGTTCTTAGAACGCCATGTCACTTAAAAGTTTTTGGTTTCTTTGTGTTGTTTTGTTTTGTTTTTTTTGAGTCCTTTATAGTTCAGGCTGGCCCGGAACTCACTATGTAGCCCAGGCTGGCCTCAAACTTGCAGTGATCCTCCTGCCTCAGCCTCCTGAATACTGTGATTATAGACATGTGCTACCATGCCCAGCTCTGACACTTAAAAGTTTTGAAGATAAAATTACTGTTACATTTATGTTTTAAACACATATATTGGGAACATTCAGTGTTTGGAACTTTACTAAGCACCTGGTACTAAATATAGAAACAAATGAGATGTGATTTCTTTCCTCCAAGAGTAAGGAACCTAGTAAGACATACAAATTATTAATTTATTTGACCTTATCTTATGTGCTACATGTTACAGCATGAATTGAGCGTTTCAAGGAACACTAAGGATATGGATCAGAGAAGCTGCTATCACACTGGAAGCTTGCCAAACAAATGGGAAGGGAAAGGCATTTTAATCTCAGAAAATAAAATAAGCCATTCCTTTTATTTTTGGCCTTTCCTTGATGGTTCTTTATAGAATTTCATATAATTAGTATTGATTTTAGGGGCTAATACAAATCACAGTTTGTGAAAAGATTTAAAGTTGACCCATAAGCAAGGTTTAACTCTTGATTACATGGGCAGTCACATATACTGAGGCATTTCTTTCTCCATAAATGTATATGTGTTATTTTAAAATATAGATCAAATTTCTTACGAATTCTAGTAGTTACTGTGTATTTCACAGTTTGAGATAAATTGTATGGTCATGCTCTTTTATGTACTTTTGTATGCTTCAATGAAATTAACATGTTCAACTAGGCTGAAAGTCCAAAATAATTCATTTGCATAGCTGGTAGGTTTGATTCTTGGATATCCACTGAATTTGTACCTAGCCTGAATCTATGCCCTTGAGTTCTCAGTACACTAGCTAGATTCTGCAAATAGATTTTAAGGAGGAGAAGTATTTTGAAGGTTAGTGTTACACAAGAGGATAGGTTGGGGGTATCCAATGCTTCTTATTATTAAGCCTTAGAAAAATATTATGTCACTGCTGTATCTTACTGGTCATGAAAGTCATTAAGGCCAACCCAGATTCAAGGAGAGGGAAGTGAGAGACACTTTCTCAAGAAAAAAATAGCAAAGAATGTACAGCCAGCTTTAAATTTACCATTACTGGAGTGCCTGTTAAAAATCTCAGACTCTTAGAGACTTCTGACACAGTAAGTTCAGGTAAGATCTAGTAATCTTTTACACAAACACTATAGGTAATCTTATCACATAAATTGGGGAAATGTTAATCTGTTTTCTCTAATTTTTTTGCCAGTTCAAGGGATTGAACCCAAGATCTCATATATGCTATGCACACACTACTACTCAGCTACCCCTCCAATATTCCCCAAATTTAAGCCTGGAGATACGTAGATGAGAACCCATGCTTGCTGTATTCTCTGGCCAAGCCCCCTTTATCTTTCTGAATTTTTTGTTTGTAGTAGGTGTTTGACATAGTTTGTGGTTTATAAATTCATATTCTACAAATAATTCTTTTTTAATTTTGTTGTAGGATGGATCAGTGGTTCTTGATTCTTGTGAAGTGTCAACAGAAAATGAACAAAGTACTCGATTTCCAAAACCTGAATTAGAGATTCAGTTTACACCTTTACAGCCAAACAAAATGGCAGTGAAACATGCTGGTTGTGCCACACCAGTGACAGTTAAGATTTCTAAGGCTCGGAAGAGGAAGAGTAGTGAAATGGAGGAGGTAAATTCTTAGCTAATGAGTAAAGTTAACAAGCAAAGCTTATTACCATAAGCTCATTTATAATATATAGTTAAGCTCTGCTGCACGGCTTTCCTGTTACTGAGATTAAAGTCATTATTTGAAGCATATTTTATACCCTTTAACAGTGATACTATGGTTTAATAGTCCTCACACAAAAAGCTATAGGTATTAAAATAATTCATTAATACATAGTTTATCCCTTGTTTCATTTAAATTATATCAGGTCAATTATAGTGAATTTTATAGTAAAGTTTTAATGGCACTTAAATTGTAATAAACATAATTTAAAACACATTAAATAGAACAAAAGCAAAACTTTCTGTGTTCTAGTTTGGTTCAAACACATTTTCATTTTCTCTCTAGTGAAAGATGAAAAAGATTGATAAAGAAATTATGAAGACTAAAATGACTGACTTATTATTGAATATTTACTTTTTGTCACTTTAAAGTTTTAGGTCTCTGATCATAGAAAGTTTTGAAAAAGAAAATCTTTTTCCATCAGCCAGATTTAAAATGTGTGCTTCAGTACAGTGGTAGGCTAAAACCTATTTACCCACTCTTGTTGTAGCCCCTTGGTGGTAGGGATGCCAAACCTTTTACTCTGCCTTAGTCATGCAGATCTGATAAGTCAGATAAGCTTTCTGGAGAGCCACATATGCTTTCTGTCAGCTATTGATGTACAGGTGGTAAATAAATAATAAATGATAACATTTATTTTTAAAGTAACTTGTTTTAAATTTAATTATAATTTTTCTAGCAAATAACTTTCTCCAACTTTCTTTTATTCCTTTATATTCCTGTATATTTTCAAGCTAGTTGGAAGAATGGAAATAGTATTAACTATATTCCTGAGGTTCTCTGTAAGGTATTAAATTTGCTGGTGAATATTACTGTGGCTTTTCTGCTACACGTACATCTTTAAAGATTGTTTTGTAATGTTTTATTAACTGCTTTTGTTCTAGTTATTTAATTTGTTTTAAATTATATTTATTATAGTTTAAGTGCTATTAAAACACTAATTACATCACCATCTATGTTAGTCTGACTTTTTCTCTATCCATTTTTTTCTAAGAGAAAGGGAAATTTGAGTATAGTACTCGAGTATTAAAATACAAATATTTTATTAAATTTGCTACTGTTTTGTACCTTTCAGAGGTATTTCAGAAAAGTTTTACAGATTCTTATAGGTATCATGTAGAAACTTAAATTTTTAAACTGATTTTAACAGTTTTCACTGCTATAATAAATTGCCTATGTGAAAATTATTTATATAATGCTGTATTTTAATCTAGTAAATCCACATAAATCCAATGAACACCTCAATTTTTTGATGGCCCAACCTTTTAGTCTTTCTTCATTTGTCTCTCAGGATTTACTGTCTGTCATTCCCCTTTCCTGGGGGCTGCTTATGCCTTCTGCTTTGAAATTTAGATTCTGACTGTTCAGTTATGATTTCTCTGCCTCTCTTCTCCCTCCTCTTGCCCTCCCTGCCCTATGCTTGTATTCTTTGATACAGCTAGGATTCTCATCAACTAAATTTAGTGAGTATATGTACAAAAAGGTTTTATCCTGTGTGAGATTATATGGGAATATGAAGAGTTAGATGCCATGCCTACTTAGTAAAGAAGAAAGATTATAATTAATTTTCACTTTTTTTTTTTTGGTTTTTTGAGACAGGTTCTCACTATGTGGTTGAGACTGACCTGGAATTTACAGTGTAGCCCAGGCTGGTCTCAAACTCACAGCGATCCTCCTGCCTCAGCCTCGTGAGTGCTGGGATTACAGGCATGCGCCACCACACCCAGCTCACATTTTTCTTTTGTGAAGTTTGTTTTTGATGTTGTCAGATTTCAGTGAGAGGTCCTACATGATTTGAGAATTAGAAAAGGGTATGCTTTATTATAAAGACGAGATTCAAATAAATCGTGTTACCCTTCTAGGTTTTTCATTTAGCTTCTGTTACTTCATTATTTATGATGTATGTGAAAAATTCATACCTACAGTCAGAATTGATCAACCTTAACTCCATTGATATTTTGGGCTGGATAATTCATTGTTGTGGGCTCTCCTACAAATTGTAGGGTGTTTAGAAGCATTTTAATTCTACCTACTAATTGCAATAACATTCTCTTTCCTGACAAAGACAAGCAAAAATATCTCCAGACATTGCTAGTATCCCCTAAGGCCAGAATTACCCCCAGTTACAGAACCATGATTACAAATGATACATAGCATTTTACAGATTTTTGTTTTTTCCTCTTGAGAAAGAAAGTATTATCTAAAAATTAACTGGTTCTGAAATTCATTATTTTTAGGACTTAGTGAAATGTGAAAATAAGAAGAATGCTACACCCAGAGCAAATTCTAAGTTTCCTATTTCAGAGACTAGACATTCTTCTGACAAAAAGGTTTGTCGTTTAATTTGTCCAAAATTGACCATTTCCATAATTTACATTTATAAAGTAGAAGCTGGCAATTAAGATGTCAAATCCATTTAGTAATTAGCCATAAATCCAGTTGTGCCTAACTATAACTTCCATTTCGTATGCATCTAATTCAGCTTAGAATATACCCTTAGCATTTGGCCATTAGAAGGCAATTCTTATATTTACTTCTGGCTTACCAGCATTAGATTTAACACTTTCATCTCTTCTCTGCATGTAATTAGTCCTAAGTTCCTTATCAAGTAATTCATACCTGTCTGTTCTCTTTAATTTAACCATGGCCATAACTGTTTCCTTCTCATGTTTCTCATCAACAGTAACAAAAGATGTTTGTTTATTAGGTTTCTGCACATTCATCATCTAAGAAAACATATTCTTTACGGAGTCAGGCACCCACAATTAGTGTAAACTTGGCTGCTAAGAAAAAAGAAGGGACGCTACAGAAATTTGGAAACTTTTTACAATATTCTCCAACAATTCTTCAATCAAAAGGTTTGTAGAAAATTAATTAAAATACTTTTCTCTTAGATAGTAGGGTACTTTCTAAAACTCAATTGGTGTATAGACTCAGATGTTTAGTTCATTGAGATTTATTTATGCTTTAAACAGGCATTGTCCTATATTAAATACTCTTAAGAAGAAATAGATGAGAAGGTAATGTGCCTCGGAATTGACTGTATTAGAGGAGAAAAGTTTATATTTAAGTAATTGCTCTAGATAAAGCAGGCTGCTGAATATAATAGAGGTGTAAACAAAATAGTATGCTTATATTGCAGTGGAGAAAACTATTCTAATTAGAAGGCTTTGAGAAGATTTTATTGAGGAAATTTACAATTTATAGTTATATATTACTAATCACAGTATTGTGATACATCTTCCTCTGTATTCTATGCATATGCATAATTACCTACCCATTTGTAATATGTTGAAAACATTATATATTTCTGTAAATGTCTGTCAGATTTGCAAATATAGTATGCTTTTTTTCTTTATATGGTTGCTATATATCGGTGTATATATTATAAAGATATGTGACACACACATACATATACACTTGCATATCTACCAGAGGGAATGGTTTTAACACAGTTCGACTAACAGAAAAGTATATAGAACTTTTATGCATTTCTAGATAGCAATATGTCTCTGGCATGTAAAATATGGGGGGACAATTTGTAGGAATTCATGAATGGCAAAAAGATGCTGAATTAGAGACCAAAAGTGTAGAAACTGGGGAGAGAAGCAGGGGGCAGTTTAACTGAGTCATAGGTTATATGTAAATACTTTGTGTGAAAACTTACTGCAGGAGTCTCCAAATTTTTTGGTTCAGTGGTCTTAATGTCTTAGTAGTTATTTTCATTGTGTCCCTTTACCCAAAGACTCCCCTAACAGCCTCATCCATTAGAATTTAGAACCAAATGACTATTAAAATTGAACTTCTGAAAATCTAGGTTGCAAAATATACCATCATCAAAAGGAAAGTAATGTGGTATAATTTTGAAACCATGAGCTACCTTGAACTATCAAGGGTCACTGTTTCTCTTGAGGACTGAAAATACCCTGAGTTGCTCTTACAAGTTTGTTGCAGGATGCTGTTGTGCACAAGTCTGAACTTCAGACGTGTCAAAGATTTGTTTTTAAAAGTATAGTTTGTATGAACATGGAATTCATCTGGAAGAACAAATAGTAAATTGTTAAATTTAGAAAGAAAGGACTTCTTATTTTAGAAGATTATATATTTAGACTATATTGATTATCATGTATTAAATGTTTTCAAAGAAAGGAATGTTCCTATCAGGTAACGAATGACTTCCTTACTTTATGGCTCAGGTTTTTTTTTTTTTTTTTTTGGTAATGGGGATCTAACTCAGGTCCTTGTGCTTGCAAGGCAGGCACCAGAACCACTGAGCCAGCCCTTATGGCTCAGTTTTTTGACAGCTTCCTGATTAATATAGTTGACGTGGATTTATTTTATTTTATTTGTTTGGTACCAGGGATTGAACTCGGGTCCTTGTGCTTGCGAGCCAGGTGGCACACCTACTGAGCTAAATCCCCGGCCTGGATTTTGGTTTTTTAAACTTATTTCTAGGAATATAAATTATTCCTATTTTGGATTGTATGTGCAGTGGTAGGTCATTTGAAAATGAATGGAAAATAGACATAACCCTGGCTGTTCTCAAAGTTATCCCCGTATCTTTCAGCTTCCTTCCTTCATCATCCTATCACTAATCCTCATCACTTATTTAAACTATAATTCTTTGTTTCTTATTAACTTTCCCTCTAGAATATAAGCTCCATAAGGACAAAATGTCCAGTTCTCTTCAGCTCTTAGTACACTGGCCTGCATATAATAGTGAGGAGTTTAGCTTTAGGCCAGAATCATGTATGTGGCTTTTTTCTGAATCCCCACTGTAGATAATCATAATGGCCTATGTGATAGACTTATGGGAAAAGTCTTCCTGTCTATACTAGACTTTGTGTAAAACCAGTGCATTGTAGTCTCTGAAAAGAGTTGTACTTGAGGGAGGACTCAATTCTCCTTGCTAAGCCATATACTTTACACATATTTGCATTTCTAGCTTGGGTGCATCCTTTCAGAGCCTCTTTTGGGACTTCAGAGGTCTTCTCTAGGTGTCTCTGCTAAAAATTTTGTTTTGGAGAGGAAGTAGATCGTACTTTGACATTTTCTGCACTGTGATTTAGTACTTTCCTACTCACATCCCTTTGTTTCTTGTTCCTCCTACCCTGCCCCCCAACTTTCAGTGCAGAAGTCCATAAAACTCAGGAGCCTTTTTCTGGGACTGTCTGGGCAATGAGAAGGCACTTTACTTCTGTGCTGATGTATCTGATCATAAGGTCATGCACCCATTCTTTAGGGTAATACAGAGCGGGTAGGTAGGAGTTGGTACTTTTTTAGTTCTAGCCTTGTGCTTATTCTATTGCAATACGTGTTTAAAAGTTTTGGGAATTGCTTTTGTTCTTGTTTCTTTTCTTTGGCTACTCTTAATACCTGAAAGCTTAGCTCCTTCAAGCTCAGCTCAGCCCTCTCAAGCCAAACTAAACTCTTGACAAGAAAACTCTCAATTTAGTATATTTCCCTAAAGTTGTTTTCTGTTTAAAAAAGTATGTATTTGTGTATGTATATACACGTATGTATTTATATATATATATATATATATATATGAATTTTTTTCCAACCCAGATAGAAATGTTTTCTATTAAAATAAGTACCCATTAAAAAAATAAAGCAAATATGCCAAGTATGAAATTTTAAAACTCCTATTATATTTCCCAGAAGGAACTAATAGTTAAAAGTTTGGTTTCTGTGGTTTGTATCAGTGTGTCTGTGTATGAACTGTAAGTTAAGGATTTGATATATATATGAATTTTTTTCCAACCCAGATAGAAATGTTTTCTATTAAAATAAGTACCCATTAAAAAAATAAAGCAAATATGCCAAGTATGAAATTTTAAAACTCCTATTATATTTCCCAGAAGGAACTAATAGTTAAAAGTTTGGTTTCTGTGGTTTGTATCAGTGTGTCTGTGTATGAACTGTAAGTTAAGGATTTGCAATTCTTTGTCTGCATCTTCATGCACGGGTATTGAACAAACCCCACTAACTTATTTTTAATATGCCCAGTCTACTGTACATATATCTAGCTTTCTGGTTTAAAAATAACATAAACCTTTTCTAAGTCATTAAAGATACTGAAATTTTATTGGTGGTACTATAATTTACTGGTTATACTATAAACCTTTCCACTTTGTTGAACATTATTCAGAGGATTATTTATTTTATTGTTTCCCACTCTTGCTGTTGATCATTATTTCATGTTTCTTAGGCATTTAATTTTTTAATCAATTATCTGTTTATGTCCTTTCTTGCATTGGATTTTTTTTTTGTGTGTATGTTCTTTATGAATGATTTCTAACCTTTATAATTAGAAAACTATTTATTTTAGGAGTTAATTAACATTTTTATTTCTTAGCAAAGAAGATAATGGAAACAATGAGCTCTTCAAAGCATTCAAAGTTAGAAGTAAGTAAGGAAAATGTATCTCAACCAAAAAGAGCAAAAAGGAAATTATACACAAGTGAAATTTCATCTCCTATTGATATATCTGGCCAGGTGGTAAGCTAGTATTTCACTTTTCATTAATGTAAAACTATTTATGTTCTTTTTAATTCTGATGTATTCCTAACAATTTAAATTTTGCCTGATTTGAATTTCTGTTCTTTAGACCAGGTCTCTTAAAACACATGCTTTAAATGTTGGTATACTTTTGGTCTCAGACGTGTTAACCTTATAGTAGCTAACAATATTATATTAATCTATATAAGTATCATGTATTTGTATTTGAAACCTCATCAGATGAATATATTTCCATCAGTAGAATTATCAAGATTTAGTAATTTATTTGCCTCTAACATCTGTTTTTACTTGTACAAATCTGGGTACAAATATACCTAGTAAAATTATAGAATTGACATTTAGCCAATTCCTCCCACCTTTCCTCTAAGTTTTTTCAGGTTGTATTAAGTAAAAATGTTAGCTGTCACCCTGACTGTATGACTCATTCTCCTCACTCAGAACAGTCAGTGCTATTACAGGGAAGGTTCTACTTTTCTATCATGCTTTTGGATTTGCTTAGTGAATGACAGTGACGGTAGAAAAGTAATTAAAGAGAAAAAAACTTCAGTTAGTGGCCAAGAAAAATTAGGAGAGACTTTTTTTTTTCTCTCAACAGCTACCAAACAGGAGATTGGCACTTGAAGGCAAGTGGTAAAGAATTAGAGCTAATTAGGACACACTGTTCATTCTATTCTGTTAGTCACTTTTACCATTTTTATGATTAGTACACAATTTCCTCCCTTGGCTGAAGAATTTTTTTTTCTTAGTATATAACTTCTTCCTAAGTTTTCTTAGTATATACTTATTGCTTTAAAAGTTCATTTCTTTTTTTTGTTTGTTTGTTTTGTTTTCTCCCAGTACCAGGGATTGAACTCTGGCACCTTGAGCTTGTGCATCAGATGTAGTGCCACTGAGCTGAATCCCCAGCCCAAAAGTTCATTTCTTAACATTGATTTGAGGCATTTTTTTGTGTGTGTCCAAATATGTTAATAGTTATTTCAAGCTTATTGTGTCCTTAATTGAATACAGAGTGTAGGTTACTTTAGTTTTAGAATGAAATAGTGTTTAATGAATCATATAAAATCTATTCTTTTGCATGTATTTTTATAGAAAATGCAATACCTATAGCCTAAGACAACAAAAAATGTACGTTATGTCAGTGACCAACATGAAGATATATTATCACTCACTATAAACAAGCTTATGTTTTTACTTTTATGTGTAATTTTTAAAATTATAAAATTGTTAATTTCAGATTTTAGTGGACCAGAAAGTGAAGGAAAGTGATCACCAGATTCTCAAACGACGACTTCGATCACGAATAGCCAAATAAATCATCTTTGGAGAATGTCTTAATGTAAATTTTATATTCATAATCATTGTGACTTGCATCTTGACTTTTTAAAGATAACTATATATTAAGATGCATTATGTCCTATGTAGAGATGGCTGTTTTATACATAGTATTTTGATTTAATAAATCAACAATAAATTTCCTTGTGTACTTTTTTCCTTGAGTACTTTTCTGTAACAGCTTTTTTTTCAATCTGTATAATTCTCTTATCTGATTTGTTGTATCATTGAAGATCCTAGGAAAGATTCTATTTTAAATTTTTTGTACATAATGACAGATCAAGTTTTTTGCTTACTTATATTTAATATATAACCATGTTTGTGATTTTTCTCTTAAACTATGTTAGGATATAAAAAAAATATTTTACAGATTTCTCTGTATTACAGTTAGGATTTAGGAAGTAAATATATCAGGTCTTGTATTTGCCAAAACATGTATCACATTATTTAGACAGAATGTCAGTTCTTTAATTAGAATGTCCTTTATTTTATAAAATAATCTAATAAAGAAAGATGGCTTATTTTCCCAGGACAAAGAATATTAGAAGTAAAAAATTAGGAAGCAAAACAAAAACAAATGCCTAGGACCCAGAACACAGGTCTAGGGGTTGGCAAAGGGTGTGCCAGATAGAATTTTAGACCTAAAATTAGAAATATATTATTTTTATTTTACAGATGAGAAAACGAAATGAAGACCATTTACTTTTTCTCTCTCCTTTTTTTTTTTGAGACAGAATCTTACTACATAGTTCAGGCTGGACTCAAACCTTGTGGCTGTCTTCTGCTCATCCTCCCTATGTTGGGACTGCAGGTGTGCACCACCATGCCCAGATAATATATACTTCTGCTAACTTATACAGCTAATAAGTATTATGGTTAAAAATACCAATAAAAGGCAAAAACTGCAAAGCAGAAAAATCTCAGGAATGATTGACAACTGGGCTTGTATTCTAAAAAATACATTTGTACATCTAAACCTTCAAAGTTTTATTAGATGATGATGATGATTCTTTAGATAAGATTTTGCTGTGTAGTTCAGATTGACCTTGAACTCACTGTGTAATCTGGGCTGACCCTGAAATTCACAGTAATCTTCCTACCTCAGCCTCCCAAGTGCTCAGATCATAGTTGTGTGGCACCACACCCAGCTTCTTATTTTATCATTACAATGATGACTCTGTACAGGTAAAAAAAAAAATTCTTGCTTCTTTAGGAGACAAATTGTATTTAGGGGAAATTTTCCACCAAAATAATTATATTAAAGCAACTTCTTTGTTGTCAGGTATGTAATCCCAGCACTTGGCAGGTTGAGGCAGGAGGACTGCCAAGAGTTCAAGACCAGCATGGACTACATAGTGAGTTCAAGCCGGCCTAAACCATGTAGTGAAACCTTGCCTCAAAAATCAAAACAAGGACAGTCATGGCACACACCTGTAATACCAACACTTCTCACAGCAAGTTTGAGGCCAGTCTGGATTTCATAGTTCAGGGAAAGCTTGAAGTGCAGAGGGAGACCCTATCAAAAAACACCAACCACTTTGAGCATTAAAATGTTTTCCTTATGTAGTTTAAAAAATATTGTTGATCTTTTTAGATTCCATTATTAAATTTGTCTACTTGCTAAAATTTACTTCTAACCTCAAAATTAATACAGCATTTTTACAGTTATTTATGGAAATGCATAGAATGGTAAAAAAATTTGAGTAGCCACATTTGCAGATGAAGTTGAACAAAGCCACATCCTACTTTCTTGTTTCAGCTCTCAAACTGTAAACAGATATCCACAGTCTAGGTTAGTGATTAAAATCATGCCTGGATATCCTTACGGGAGAAGGAGTTTGGAGGGTGAGTCCTTCCAAATTCAAAGGGATTGGGAAAGGTGCTTTCTATGGATCTCCATTAGCAAAGCATAAAACCAAACCTACATAGATTGAAAGTAACAAGCCAGTAATCACAATGCTTGGAATAGGAATACACTCTTCAGAGGAAAATATAATATAGATCCTTTACAGCATCATATTTCATAATGCAGTGAAAGATGGATAGATGTGGAGAGGTGGATTAAAAATGTTACAGTAAAGACCAGTGACAAAATAGTCTCTGTGATCTGTAACCCAGACACCCGGAAAATGAGAACTTAGCAAAGAAAAAAGCAGATCTCCAGGAAGCAGAAGGGAGCTGACAGGAAAAGCAAAAAGTATAGGAAAGTTGGAGAAACGGAGCATGACACAGAAAAGAACAAAGCAGCCTGGAAAATGAATCCTGGTTCCCAGCACAGGGACCTGCCCACCAATACAAGATGAGCCCTGTCTGAGTCAGCAGCTCCAGGGAGAAGCAAAAGGCCAGGCCCAAGAAAAGCCTGTGGTTATAAACAAAAGTAGCTTGAGGCTTTACACTCAAAGTGACTACGTGTCAGGTTATTTGAGTGTTGTCAGGAGCCATTTTGGGAAGGAGTTAATTGTTTAAGATTGAGATGATACAGGGGGAATACTCCCAAACCTGCTAGATAGCCAAAATATTGACTTCATGTTCTCTAAAACTGAATAATGAATTCTAGAAGCAGTAGAGGTTAAGAGTAGGAAAAATTGAGAGAAACATAGCTTCTGTGTAAGAGTAACAGAAAAGGGATCCTGTTTCCCCAGGGGTTTTTATGAAGCAAAGCCCTGAGGAGAGGTGGGTTCAAGGTGGGACAAAACTAGTCAACAGAAAGCTAAGTACCATCACTTAGGTAATATTGATCCAACAGGAAATCATAAGGTGGACATTGAAAGAAAAGGAGCTGAAACAGGATTACCCAAGGCAAAGCTTTATTGGGGGAAGGAGCTGCAGGGCTCCCTCAAACAATGGTACAAGAGAGTGAACCCTTTTGGGGTGATGTTTAGAAGGGTTTGGGAGAGCATCATGTGTAAGTGGGTGATAGGTTGGTGTTAGTGATGAGGGTGGAACTGATTGGCAGTTTTGAATTTAGAGGTGAAAAAATTTTCTGGGTGGGAAGGAGACAGGGTGGGGTAAGTTTTCCTGTTGGGAGTTAGTTTTGATTCCCAGACATGACTAATTTCCAGTTTGAAGGGATATTTTGAGTAAATAGGACTGCTGGAGCCATTTCATTGGTGGGAACAAAACTATGATCAACAAATAAGGTTATAACAAGTATAGTCACTGAGATAATATTAAATGGACATCAAATGAGGAAGCAAGTCACATAGCAAGCATTCAAGGGATAAAAAAGGATGGGGTAAGGTCTTGGTCCCCCACACAGGTGATAGCTATTTAGAATATCAATGACTGCTTTTCATCCCTAGGGGAAATATGCTAGTGTAGTAGTTTCTCTCTTCATAATGCTAGCCAGTAAATGTACTTCAATTGTTTTTCTGTGCCAAGGGCCAAGCTTTGTCTATCTGCCTTGTAATAATTTCTAACTAACAGCTATCTACAATAGATACAGAACAACCGGCAGGGTTCCTGGAGCCACCCGATCATAGTGACCGAGACGGAGGCTCACAGACAGGTCAGAGTTTCTTGTTGACTCTTATTTTTTCTTATTTTGTTGCTATTTGCAGTCCCAGAGTACATCACTGAAAGCCTGACACTAACTAAAGAATTTCCATACTAGCAGCAAAGTCCACTATAAAAATAAGCAGGAGTAGTCACCCTATTTTCAGAAAAAGTGGACTTCAAGCCAAAACTGATCAAAAGACAGAGTCGCTACATATTGATTAAGGGAATAATTCAGCAGGAAGAGATAATAATTATGTCACATAACCCTGACACACCCAACTTTATAAAATAAATGCTGCTGTACATAAAGATCAAGTAAAGTTCAACATTATAGTGAAGGACCTCAATTCCTCATTATCATAAATAGATCAGCTAAACCAAAAATAGAGTTGAACCACACCTTTGAGCAAATGGATTTAACAAATCCATAGTATTCCAGCCTACAACAGAATATGCCTTCTTAGCACAGCGTGGCTTTTCTCCAAAACAGACCACATACTAGTCCATAAGGCATGCTTAAATAAATAAAAAAGTCAAAAATTTTCCTGTGCATGTTATCAAATCAGAGTGCAATGAAACTAGTAATCAATGGAAACAGAAACCACAGAGATTATGCAACCACACGGACATTAAACAATAACATTATTGAATAATGAATGGGCAACAGAAGACATCAACTAAAGAAAAAACTACAGGCTGATCTCTAAAGTGAACACAGATACAAAAATTCTCAACAAAATACTGGCAAACATAGGTATCTTCCTGAAAGAGTTAAAAATGTCATACATACCACAGTGATGTATTTATACTTATGTTGTTTATAGTAGCACAATTTATAATGGCTAAATCTTGGAAATAGCACATATACTCATCAAAAGATGAATGGATAAAGAAAATGTATTTATATACAATTTAGGAGCCCTTTTCTGTAACAGCTTTTCTTCAATCTAATCTCATCTGACTTATTAGATCAATAGAGATCCTAGGAAAGATGCTGTTATTTTTATTTTTCTGTATATAATGACATATATACAACAGAATCCAACTCTGTCATAAAGAAAGATGAACTTGAATCATTTGTAGGAAAAAGAATGTATTAAAGACTATATAATTTTAAGTGAAATGTTGGACACAGAAGTTTAAATACTGCTCTTTTGTGAGAAACCCAAAGGGTAAATAAGGAGCAAAATGGAGGATAGATATTGGGAAGTAGGAAGAACATGTTTTTGCACTTGATCTTAGCCAAAAGGCCAAGAAGCGATTAGGAACATGTTTTTGAAATATGGAAATACCATTTTAATGAATGGAGAAATAAGGAATCTTAGCAGAGAAATGGAAAGTATAAAGAGAAAACAAGGGGAATTATTACAACAGAAAGGTGAAATAATCGAAATGGAAAATCCACTGGATAGATTTTTAACAGCAGATTGGAGTTGTCAAAAGAAATTTGTAAGTGAATTTGAACACAGGCAGGTCAATTTAAGTTATACATTCTAA